AAAAAAACAAAAAAAAAAAAACAAAAAAAAACAAAAAAAAACCAAAACCCACACAAACAAACAAACAAACAAAATGGCCCTTTTATCTGGCCTCTGACTAACCAATAAAATAATTATTTGTTTGCTTAGCTAATATAACAGCTATTTTCTATGGTTGTGGTAAAATACCATAACCAAAAGCAATTTATGGTAGAAGAGTTTGTTTTGGCTTACAGTTCCAAAGAGGTAAGAATCTATTTTGAAGGAGAAGTATTGCAGTAAGAGGTGGGCCATTGTAGCAGGAAAAAGAAGCAGAGAGCTCACATGCTCAATCAAAACAGAAAGCAGAATGACATACTTCCTCCAGGAAGGCCCTGCCATTTAACTCTCCCTAAATAGTGCCACCAATTGGAGACCAAGTCTTCAAATATAGGAGCCAACTGGAGACATTTCTCACTCAAACTACTACAGTAGAGCTAGGCATCTCCCATGTAACCACGAGTTAGCATTAATGTTCTGAATGTCAAATCTTTCGTAGGATGTGAAGAAATGATAATACTGTAGAAAGTTTCTTCATGATTTATTCACATTTAACATGACCATTTTGCTAGCTAAGCTCATTTCAGTGCTTCTGTGGCTTCTGGTAGCTGGGTCAGATTGAAAATATCAGCCAAGGTGATTCCAATGTCCCTCTTAGTAAGGGTATTTAATATATTCTTATACATTTGTCAGTGTGTGTTCGTAGTCGGTGAACTGGTTCCCAGGGTATCTCAGTGTTAATTGCTAATGCTGAGGTGTGACATTGGTAATAACAGAGGTCTGGCCATGAGTTTAAAATGTTCAAACAAGTCTAATAAGACAGCCTTTTCCATTAGCCTATACCTAACTCATTAGAACACCTGTGGTCACATAGATTTTTACATCTTAGAACCAGTTACAGGCCCCTTTAGCAAGCTGTAAATGGAAAATGGAAATGTTACATGCCTTCCAATGTGATATAGAAAACACAGGTAATATAAGATGTGTGCATATTTGGCATGGTACTGCTTTGAAATATTTTTTAAAAGGAGGCAAGTTACTGGGTGGTTTGGAGTCAGACTGTGCTCAGGATAAATCGCAGACGGGTCTGAGAGCAATTTCATCCTAACTCCTGCCATGAATGCAGATGCCTGCAGCAAGCAACGGCAGTGTGCACTGAAGTTTCCTGCAAACCCCACATCTGTGTTAAAGCTTCTGCAGACGGATGAGCAATTAGGATGTCTAGTTGTGGAGAGTTGGAAGGCTGTATCAGAGCCAACATTATCTTGGGTCATCACTAGCATCCTTAATTGCTACTTACCACCCATCTCCGTATCTGGCCTCACTTCCATCTCTTTGACTATCAGCTGAAATCTTTGGCATCCTTGACTCGGCTATAACTAGCTTCCAACAATCCAAAGCTAAGGATATTTATTAACAGATACCATCTGAAACCCATCACAGGGACTTCCCTGCTGTACTGTAACCTGCCTGCTTGATGTCCCCACCAATGTCCCCACCTTGCTTTATGGCTGTGTTTTGTTAAGTGACGATAAGAATTTGTATAACTGTTTCCACAGTAGACTACTTCCCCATTCAGGGCATCCTGAGTTCATGGGGGCACTGTCACATTGTTTGCTCAGAATAAAGTATCTCTTGTTCCCTCTGGCAGAAGAGCTTCGGTTTGCCTTGACACGGCACCGCCAAAAGACATCAGATGCAGCTATGACTAGGAGCATATCGATTAAGACTCGGTGGAATCCTTTCTCCCTGACTAAAACCCGACTAGCGTGTTCCCACCACACTAGCTACTACGTGTTTCTGAACACTTTGCCCTCCAGTACCCTCTGCTACATCCTAAATATTCCTAGGATCCCCAGGCACCTCTATTCCTGAGGAGAGAACCCTTTGTGATTCAACGGCAGTGGGTGGTGAAACGTTGTTAAAAATGTCATGGTGTGTGTTCATTCAAGCCAATGAATGAACGCTTTTGCAGAATGGGGAGTTTCCTGGGAGAACTCAGCCAAGCCGCCTGTAGTGCAGCTTCCCTGTAACAGTCCTGCCCCTTGGGCCATTATCCCCAGCAGCAGGAAAGTCAGTTGATCTCTTGGACTTCATAACCCAAGCATCGGTGAAATCTGAATTCCTCTAATGCTACATTAGAATCTGAAAGGCATGAGATGCAAAAATCTTTGCTCTGATGGTAAAATGTTAGTTGAGGGCTAGGGAGAAGGCTCAGAGGGCAAAAGTGTCCTTGCTGGGCAAGTGTGAGAACTTCAGGTCAAAATTCCAGGACCCACATAAAAAGCTATGGGTGGTCATGCACACCCTGGAGGGTCTCACTGGCATCCAGCCTGACTCCAAACTGAGAGACGGACCCTGTTCCAGGGAAGAAGGCTGAGGGCAATAGAGCAGGACACACAATGTTGTCTTCTGGCCCCTACACCTAGGCACCAGAATGCACACCTTCACACACATACACACACACACTTCCATACACCATACACACTCACTCTCACTCACAGGGAAATACATACATATATATATGTGTGTGTGTATGTGTGTGTGTGTGTGTATATTAGTTAAGAGGGGTCTCTACTGTGTGTCTGGTGTGATGCCAACTGTAATAGTTATTTTCCTCATGGCTGTGACGAAACCCCTGACCAAAGCAACTGAAGGAAGGGAGGGTTTGTCTTGGCTCACAGTTTGAGGAGATACGGTCCATTGTAGTGAGACAGTCATGGCAGCAAGTAGCTGAAAACAAAGGGTCCCACTGCTTCTGCAGTCAGGAAGTGGAGAACAGGCAGAAAGCAGAGCCAGTCTAAAAACCCACCAGCTCCGCCTCCTGTGCTCACTTCCTCTAGCACAGATCCACGCACCAGGTCCATGACCTTCTAAAATAGCATGTTCAGACAAAGACTCCAAGCACACGAGCCTCTGGGGGCCATTTCATCCAAGTCACAGCGCTGATGGTACAGAAGACGTCTAAATCTACGGTTCTAGCCAGTCATTTGCTTGCATTACAGGGCTCCATTTTCCAGGCGCCGCCTTGGCAGTGCATCCGATTAGCTTCTGAGAGAGTGGTTTCATGGGAAATATGATTTAGACTTTACTTCGACAACCCTGAAGATCAATCTCTCTCAACAATGCTCTCCAAAGTCGTGCTCGTAATCTGCCATTATGCTGTAGGATTTGGGAAGAAGGTAAATGTCCTGTCAGCCACAATCTCTCTTTATTGTTTTTAAGAAGGGATGGTTCCCATTACCAGAAGCAGATAAGGGACACTAACACCCATTTGTCATTCAAAACCGACAGCTCACTTCCGCAGAGCGAATCACACTCATCCTGTAGTGAGCTTGGTTTGTTGTTGTTGTTTTAATGGGGTCATAGAGCCACAATGCAAGGGCAGGGAAAATTCAAATGGGGTAGGGTTGGGAGACAATTTCCCAGCAGTAACTTTGGCTTTCTAATACGTCCTTTTGCCTTAAATAGATTCTCACCTCAAATGATAATTGCTGTGTACATCACCATTCTGGAGGTTTTTAGCTCCACTCTCAGGCAGACATCCCTTACCCAGGCTTTCGGACAAATAACTCATCTCACAAGATATAGACAGGTCTGCATGTGATAAGAAATACGTCATTTCATCAAATGGCAACTGAGACTTAGTAGTTAAAAGTGTATACTGCTCTGTGTAGGATCAGAGTTCGGTTCCCAGCTCCCATTACCAGAGGGCTCACGACTGCCTGTAACTCCAGCTCCCAGGAATCCAACATCCTTGCCTAATCTCTGTGCAAACATGTGATATATACATACACAAATAAAAAATAAAATAAATATGTAAGAACTAGAATAAATAAGTGGCGGCCCTTGGCTGCAGACCGGCAGCAGCCGCCCATCCAGGCCTTGTTCTTCTCCCTGATGTCTACGTTGGAAATGCTAAGGTTATCATTCACCATTCAGTTTCCAAACAAACAGATGGGAGGCACACCCCCCCCTTGGGTAACCCTAGACTCTTCAATATCAAATGTCACACAATGTCTTCACCCAAACCGTTGGTCCTGAAGTTTTCCTCATCCCTACACAGTATCACCATCCATTTCTGAGATCAAGCCATATGAAAAATGTGTGGACTGGATGGTTAGATATTGACTGCTTTACCTGAATCAACCAAAACCTGGCAGAAAGCCTTTTTACTTCCCTGGCCCCCCCATTTCATCTCCAATAGGGGCTGGAAATCCATTTGTCAAATCGCAAATGGATTTATCCTCATTAAACACAAATGTTTGTCCTTGCTAAAATGCAAACAGGGCCATCCAGTTTCCATGCTGGACTGTGAAATGGCTTCCCGCTACCTTTAAACAGAGAGTAGACATCTGGTGGGGCTTTCAGAGCTTATATTTCCAGCCCTTGCAGATACCACAGGCCCTATCTCCCTCTATGTTCTAGTCCATGGACCTTTATTTTGGGATACAAGCCTCTTCCAAGATCTGGTCCTCTGCACACACTAGTCTCTTGCCTGGACCTTTCTCCTTCTCTCTCTCTCTCTCTCTCTCTCTCTCTCTCTCTCTCTCTCTCTCTCTCTCTCGACTCCCAAACCTTTGTCATCCAGTAACGTCGCTTCATTTGTGTCTAGCCACAAATGGTCTCTAAGATCTCTTCCAGGACACAGTGGGATTGTACATGACATATATCCATGGCACTTTTTCTCTGCTTTAGTTCTCAGTTAATGGTGAAGCCACAGACACAAAGTCCCTTGTCTAAGGCATGCCTTAGTAGCTCTCAGACCCAAAATCTTGAGGGAAGAGCCTTCAAGAGCCTTCTAGATCCTCCATCTGTACAGCAGGCTGAGAACATCAACACCAGAACTGAGGGGGGCACTTTCATTGCCCGCAGTAAGGGTCTCTACCACACCTCGGCTGATTTTACGATTTTCATGGGGGAGTCTTTCCCAAGCTGCATCTTAGTAACAGGGTTCCTACCGGAAGGAAGAGCCTCTGGGCGGCACAGGGTTTGAATAATTTCTTCCATTCCTGGGGGTTTCCAACGGAAAATGTGATGGGGTAGATTCTGTGCTCAAACTTCTTTGTATATGAGTCGGGCCACTGGCGCAACTGCAAAACATGGAGACACAGAAGGGTTAGGGTTAGACACTGAGATGTACAGAGCACACCTGAGAATGGCGGGCACAGTGGAAATTATCCAGGCAACTCACACAGCGAGATTAGCTTCATCCCTGCTCCTACAGGTCACCAACTGAAGAGACATTTTCCTATAACACTGCTGCAGTGAGAACAAACCATGCCTGCTGAAGGCAGGGGAGTTGGGAGTCTGGTCCACAAACACTGCCCAAGGGAATGGATGACATGCCAAGAGTTCAGAACGCTTCAGAAGCTGGTTAACAGAAAAAGAGGACAACGGCTTTCGTCACAATGGAGTTGTGGCAACAAAATCTGGAGAGACTCTAAATGTCAGTTCATAAAGAGCTGGGAAAACGAAAGTTATGATAGATATTCCATATATGGAATATGCAGAATAAAGAACTGTGTGTTTCTGTGTGATGCATACAAAAGCTATTATATGGTCCAGTGCAGGGTGCATGCCTGTAATCCCAGAATTAAAGAGGCTGAGGTAAGAGGAACACAAATTTGAGGCTAGCCTGGGCTATGTGAGATCCTGTCTCAAAAAATTCTAATATGACTCCATCAAATAGCAAAAATATACACATCTTTATTTCAAGGTTTACTTTTATATGAATGAGGGTTTTGCATGCAGGTATGTTTGTGCACTGTATGCGCACTGTGTGGTGTGCCTATTGCCTGCAGAGACCAGAAGTGTTGGATCCCTGGAACTAGAGTAACCATTGTGAGCCACTGATATGGGTGCTGGGAACTGAACCTGAATCCTCTGCAAAAGAAGAAAGCATATTCAACTACTGGGCCATCTCTCCAGCCCCTAAGCACATGTCTTTTACATGTGGAGAAAAAAAAATCTAGACAGATAGCATCCTCTTATTAAAAGTGGACACCTTTACAGGTGGTGCTTATGGGTCTCATTTTCTGTTGATATTTCTGTATTCCTCAGAACTTTTGTAGTGGATATGTTTTTTCTTTGTATATGTTAATTTTTAAAAAATTTATTCAATTTTAATCCCAGTACTTGGGAGGCAGAGTCAGGTGGATCTCTGTGAGTTCGAGGCCAGCCTAGTCTACAAGAGCTAGCTCCAGGACAGAGAAACCCTGTCTCAAAAAACCAAAAAAAAAAAAAAAATTATTCATTTAATGTGTGTCTTAGTGTTCTATTGCTGTGAAGAGACACCTCTTACAAAGGAAAACTTTTAATTGGGGCTGGCATACAGTTTCAGAGATTTAGTCCATTATCTTCAAACAGTGCACAGGCAGACATGCTGGAGAAGGAGCTGAGAGTCCCGTATCTTGATCTGCAGGCAGTAGAAGCAACTGTCACACTGGGCATAGCATTAGGACAGATGAAACCTCACAGCCCAGCTCTACAGTGACACACGTCCTTCAACAAGGCCACACCCACTCCAACAAAGCCACACTTCCCATGGGGGCCATTTTCTTTCAAACCACCATAATGTGTATGCAAGTTTTTCCTGCACCATCATGTATGTATGTACGTCACATGCACAGCTGGTATCTGCAGAAGACAGAAGAGGGCATCGTTCCCCTGTGTTATGATTTAGATAAAACAGCACAGTTCCCCAAGGGGCTCAGTGTGCCACGAGGGGCAGCAAGGTCCCAACACCCGAGGCCTCTGTGGGTCCCAGGTGGGTAGGAGGAGGCGGGTGAGAGACACTGGGGGGTTTAGTGGCAGGGCAGCCGGTACCACGAGGAGCCGTGGTGGGTGAGAGACAGAGATGGATAGGCATGCCATACAGAGTGAGTTTGGATATAGTTTATTCAGTAAAAGGGAAGGAAAGGGAATGGGGAGAGAGGGAGAGAGAGGGGGGGAGAGGAAAAGAGGCCTCAGTCACCTCTTCTGAAGAGAGATGGGGCAGCAAGAGCACAGGTTGGAAGATGAAGGAAGATCAGCTTGTTGCTTATTTAGGCAGAAGGGGAGTGGGCGGGGCTTGTCTCTTAAAGGGACAGGACAGACCATTACATTCCCATCTCTTTTTTTATAATAAAAAGGTAGGAGGTTAGGCACAACAGGTTAAAGGAATTGGAATGGCAGATTCTCAAGACTGTTTTATTATTTTCTGAGTGTTGTTTTGCAGGGGGCGATCTGAGAAAGCTGGGTGATGGTCACATCCTGGGGTAGCTGGTCTCTTTGCTCCCATCTGGTGTTTGTGTTATGGAAATGTCCAGTGTCTCTTAGACCTGTTTAAGGTATTGGCAAACATAGGACAAAGTTAAGTTTAGGGAAATTTTTTTTTTAGGACCAGGGAATTGAGACGAGTGTATCAGACCTGTTTAAAGTGGATCCTTCAATTTGGCTCCCTGGAACTCACAATAATTTTTTGGGGGTTGTGAAAACGTAAGTTTTAAACAGCAGCATATTTATATCAGAATGACTGTGACAGATATTTTTGCATAATGAACAGTATCTTTAAGACTATTAAAGGAAGCATGAGTATAGTGAGGAGGCAAGCATGCCTGGCTCCTGCATGGTTAGCTTTTTTTAAAATTAATTAATTAATTAATTTATTAAAGACTTCTGCCTCCTCCCCGCCACCGCCTCCCATTCCCCTCCCCCTCCTCCAATCAAGTCCCCCACCCTCATCAGCCCAAAGAGCAATCAGGGTTCCCTGCCCTGTGGGAAGTCCAAGGACCACCCACCTCCATCCAGGTCTAGTAAGGTGAGCATCCAAACTGCCTAGGCTCCCACAAAGCCAGTACGTGCAGTAGGATCAAAAACCCATTGCCATTGTTCTTGAGTTCTCAGTAGTCCTCATTGTCCGCTATGTTCAGCAAGTCCGGTTTTATCCCATGCTTTTTCAGACCCAGGCCAGCTGGCCTTGGTGAGTTCCCCATAGAACACCCCCATTGTCTCAGTGTGTGGGTGCACCCCTCGCGGTCCTGAGTTCCTTGCTTGTGCTCTCTCTCTTTCTGCTCCTGATTTGGACCTTGGGATTTCAGTCCAGTGCTCCAATGTGGGTCTCTGTCTCTGTCTCCTTTTATCACCTGATGAAGGTTAATATCCAGGAGGATGACTATATGTTTTTCTTTGGGTTCACCTTCTTATTTAGCTTCTCTAGGATTACGAATTATAGGCTCAATGTCCTTTATTTATAGCTAGAAACCAATTATGAGTGAGTACATCCCATGTTCCTCTTTTTGGGTCTGGCTTACCTCACTCAGGATAGTGTTTTCTATTTCCGTCCATTTGCATGCAAAATTCAAGAAGTCCTTGTTTTTTACTGCTGAGTAGTACTCTAATATGTATATATTCCATACTTTCTTCATCCATTCTTCCACTGAAGGGCATCTAGGTTGTTTCCAGGTCCTGGCTATTACAAACAATGCTGCTATGAACATAGTTGAGCATATACTTTTGTTGTATGATAGGGCATCTCTTGGGTATATTCCCAAGAGTGGTATTGCTGGGTCCAGGGGTAGGTTGATCCCGAATTTCCTGAGAAACCGCCACACTGATTTCCAAAGTAGTTGTATAAGTTTGCATTCCCACCAGCAATGGATGAGTGTACCCCTTTCTCCACAACCTCTCCAGCAAAGGCTATCATTTGGTGTTTCTGATTTTAGCCATTCTGACAGGTATAAGATGATATCTTAAAGTTGTCTTGATTTGCATTTCCCTGATCACTAAGGAAGTTGAGCATGACCTTAAGTGTCTTTTGGCCATTTGAACTTCTTCTGTTGAGAATTCTCTGTTCAGCTCAGTGCCCCATTTTATAATTGGGTTGATTAGCCTTTTACAGTCTAGTTCCTTGAGTTCTTTATATATTTTGGAGATCAGACCTTTGTCAGTTGTGGGATTGGTGAAGATCTTCTCCCAGTCAGTGGGTTGCCTTTTTGTCTTAGTGACAGTGTCCTTTGCTTTGCAGAAGCTTCTCAGTTTCAGGAGGTCCCATTTATTCAATGTTATCCTTAATGTCTGTGCTGCTGGGGTTATACGTAGGAAGTGGTCTCCTGTGCCCATGTGTTGTAGAGTACTTCCCACTTTCTCTTCTATCAGGTTCAGTGTGTTCGGACTGATAGTGAGGTCTTTAATCCATTTGGACTTGAGTTTTGTGCATGGTGATAGATATGGGTCTATTTTCATTCTTCTACAGATTGACATCCAGCTGCATGGTTAGCTTTACACCCGAAATAACAACACACAAATTGTATTCTTTTAAACACTGCCTGGCCCATTATCTCTATCCTCTTACTGGCTAACTCACATCTTGATTAACCCATTTCTAATAACCTGTGTAGCACCACGAAGTGGTAGCTTACCAGGAAAATTCAGCATGTCTGAGCTGGTGGCTGGCTCCATGGTGTCTGACTCACCTCTCTTCTTCCCAGCATTCTGTTCGGTCTACTCCGCCTATCTAAATTCTGCCCTATCAGGCCAAGCAGTTTTCTTTATTAATTAACCAATGAAAGCAACAGATAGAAAGAAGTCACTCCCACATCAAATGAGAGAAAATTTTGTTAACTTGTAGCTTATTGAAATTTTTTTTTGGTGAGGTCGTCCTTTAAAAAGACAAAACCTCTCAGCTGTCAAACTGCATCAGAGATCTTTGAGAAGAATAAAATTTTACTTGAGTAATTGATTAAAAAACGACAGAGAACTTACTTATTTGGCACCTAGAGCTACTCTTCAGGATCCTCCACAGTTGCTGAGAGTCGTATTTGCCTTTTGCTGTTTAGTGCAGGTACTGCTAGACTCCAGAAGATCCTGTGGGCTAAGAAATCTGTAGGAAAACAAGCCTATCTTGACCTGAGCAGTGAGGCTGTCGATTCCAGCAATTCTGTTCATTGTCTGGAGATAGTTAATTTAGTTGAAAGGCAGTTTTGCCCTGTGGTCAGCACTTGGCAGTTGAAATGAATTGCGAATGGATGTTGTTTTATGACCATCTGTCTTCTGACTTCTTTGGAGAAAGTAGAGTGCCGCTGCTAGAAACCAACCTGTCTCTTTTTGTTAT